GATAATAAAAACTAAAAATATAAAGAAAATAAAATGTGTTTAAAAATATAATTTTTAAAAATGTAAAAAATTGTATAGAATAAATAAATAGATATATTTGATATGATGAAATAGCAAAAAGAATGACAAATATAAAGAAACTAAAATATATAATATATATATATACATATAATAAATAATAATGATAAAACAATAATAATTTAATTTAAAAAAATAGAACCCAAAATGTGACATCCATGCATGTGGACACCAGGTCTTAAGAGGCTAAAAAAAAAAAAAAAAAAGTGTCTCAGTAAATAAATGGTCATTAATCGTACCTCTGTAGAAAAGCTAATTTCCTGAACTCAGTGCAGCTCGATGGTTGGACATGATTTCATTAAAAGTAAAACTTAACAGGATTACTTTTTTAGAGTGCAGCTCCTACTGACATTCGATCGTCAGACTTTAGGAGTCTGAAACTCTTTCTAACTGATCCTGGAGTCAGAGATCTGGTGGAGCAACTTTACATCTGATATAACCTGTATGTAATCTGCTCTATCGGCTTCATGAGTGGCTGCTTTACATTCAGGCTGTTCTGTCATTGGCTCCTGTCTGTGTGGTGGACGTGGAGCTCTACCTGAGTGGGCGGCTGTGTTTCCTATCCCTCCCGTCTCCATACATTCTGACATAGAGCACATGGCTTCAGAGGGTGTTCTACATCCACTGCTGTTGAGTCTAGAGAAGCAGAACAACCGATAACTCTCGTATAGACGTGTCGCGTTCCTGACGAGCTTTTCATCGCTCTTAGCTTCCAGGATGTGAAAATATCGGCATAAATAAGGCAAATATTGCATTTAAGCGCAAGACAGAGAGAAGCTGAGGCTGAGCCAGAGAGACGGGAGGGGATGGAGATGAAGACAGAGCCAATTTTTACATCATACATTAGCCATTCTTAATAAGTAATAATCCTCTCCGTAAAGCTGGCTCAGCCATTTGGAGTTTTTGATGGGCCCAAAGACTGCAGCGGTGGCACACTTTACCCAACCACTGGAAGAAAGCTGTGGTGTACATTCTGTTTTATAGCCACGTAAAGTACTGCAGGAATCTGGAGAGGAGCAGCGGCCAAGGCTGCATTAGAAACCTGATCATTTTCATTAAGTAATTGGTCGCTGTGACCTGTGTGAGTTGCTTGGCAAGATGGAGTTTCATTTGCTAGTTTGGGAAGCAATGTTACTGCTTCCACATGAATAATTAAATCAAACTTTACAACTCCTGGATACACACAGACGCTCATTCGCCCACCGAGCGGCCGCCGTCGCCAAAGCCCACAGGTTCTTGCTGTCGTGCCGTTTTTTTCGTTTGTTTTTACCTCCCTCCTCTCTCTTCTCCTTGCCTCTTGTTCGGTCTGGCCGTGTTTAAAAAAGCATATTGTGCATCTCTGTGCATCTCTGCTGGACACTGCAGGAGACGCAGCGGAAGATCTGTGACACTAAAATGGTATAGGAGGAAACACGGAGGAGGCCGGCGGCTGCTGCTGCACGTAACACAGGAAGTAGATAAGAAGCCTGTAATTACAGAGAAAGAGAAAACCAGCCAGGCCGAAGCAAAGAGATGTGTAAGAATTAGAGTGAGAGAAAAGACAGACAGAGGCAGAAAGCGATAGCCTGTGAGAGAAATCTAGGAAAGAGCAGGTGTGCCATCACACAACAGATCAAAAGAGTTCAACCGAAAAGAAGAGAAAGGCAGAAAACGTGTTGTGCTGCAAAGTATACCCAGAAAAACAATGACACACAGGTAGAGATTAGCTTATTATCTCCACACGGAATCACCTGGAGGATAAGTCAGACGTGTCTGGTAATCTACGATGCTGCTGCAGATAGCAGCCGCGTTTTATGGTTCTCCACATTTCACCGTGTGTAAAGTATCCACGAGGTTGGAATGAATATTAATGTGAGCAGTTTTACAGGTTTAAGCCGACAGGTGTGACTTACGCTGACCAGCTCAGAGACGCCTGGACTGAACACAAGTGGCTGGACGTGTCTCTCTGAGGACCGGACCATCACGATGTCTTTAGGATGCAGAAGTAGAAGTATTTTTTGCATAGTTGCATAGAGCTGTGTATGTAAACCTTAACAAAATTATCCAGCTACAGATGCCCAAGTTCTAGAATTTACTGCAACACAGACCCAATGACATCTGGTTCTGACACGACTCTGCCCCTTCTGGACGAAGCAAATGCTGCAGGATCTCTGTAGACGAGCTGGTTGGTCATCTGAAGGGGAAACTCCTGGTTGGTAGTTTGAAATATATCTTTACTGACACCAGTCCTGGAACTTCTCTGACACCTCGTCTGTTTTCTCTTTGTAATATCAGTAGAAGAGTCCCTGTGTGTCGGTTTGTCCTGAAGGTGTAACCTACTGAGAGTATGAATGAGTCCCAGTGAACCAGCTGGAACAACGTGTTGGTTTGTTTGTTCAGTCACAGGTTGAAAAAATGAAGATTTGAATGAGTGTAAAGGTTTTTCTGCTGCACTTGCTGGTGACACGTGGTCCATAAGAAGACGTAGCTTTAAGGTTTCATGTAAAACGTGACCCTCTGTATAAGCTACCAGGACATGGTAACGGGAACAGCTGTAAACATGACTGCTGCTAGACTCCTGCACAAGTCCAGGGCTACGACGTCCATGAGTTCGTACGCCCAACGCTGCCCTCCCTCTGTTAGAAGCACACCACTGTGGTCTTCAGTTAGCTCAGTAGATCAGGATGCAGGTTAGCGTCTCATCCTCACTTGTTGCATCATTTTTCTCCTTGTTTCACTTTGCTGGTTTGTTTTTGGACATCAGGCTCTGATCTGAACATTAAAGCTCCTGCAAAACAATAACTATCTGGTCAGAATGTTCTGTCACTGTCCACCGTCCAACAGCTGAAAGGTGACCAAACCTGAACTTCTGACCT